TCCTACATTCCCTTCTAACACCAATCCTTTCTTCCCATTCATGGCCATTTCATCGACCCTTTTGACCTCTCTTTGACCATCCGCGATTGATTCCACCACGACGTCTCTAAGTTCCCAATAGATCTCTCTGAACACTCTCTCTGCCTCTCCATACACTTCACTCAGTGTTGCTTCTTTGTTCACCACTATGCATTCTTGTGGAGGCATCTTTATCTCGTTGTTGTGATGACATTTCCGAGCGATCGTGCAAAATATTCCTAATTTGTCCTCTCGATCTAAGTGAAGTGTTTTCGTCGATGTATCTCTAATGTAGTGATACTCTTTGATGAAGTATTTCGCGTCGAGGATGGCTCTTGAAGCCATGCCGATTTGGTTCAATATCCCTATGGGGCCTAACACTCCCTTGTAGTCCATTAGAATGTGTTCGTAAAAATAAACCATGTCTTTCATCACTTGACCTCTTGTGATCTTATTGTGTCCGTTCGTCGTCGTCGACTTCCCCATTGGATTTTGGTTTTGAAGGGTTATGAGTTCTTGGTTACTACTTGGTAACAAATTTGATATGTCCTCCAAGCAATACTCTAGCACTTTCTTCACCGGATTTAGACTACGTCGGACCAAATAATTCCCGACCACCTGGTTCCCGAGCGACTTCAACACGAAATCAAGCAAACCCGTGTCCCCAATGTAATTTCTAGCTGCATCTCTCACTTCTTGTCTCGATATCCATCGGTATTCGACTCGTTTCAACGACTCTATAACCACTTTGATAGCCATTTGGATCCGTTTTTGAGACCATCTGCAGTTGGTACTATCAATGGAGATTATTTGGTTTCGGGAGTTATTCATGTAACTATCTCTTGGAAGACGCGAGTGGAGATGAAGCATGAACATGAAGAGGTCACTGAGAGTGATCAGTGGCTCGGTAGATAAAGTTTGGTACTTTGACAAGAGGATTGGAGTTTCACGGTTAAGACCTGTTAAGTGATGGTTAAGCAAACACAATGGTACGTTACGGACCGATTCGAGAGCCTTCTCGTAAATCTTTTGAGTCACTCCGTATGTCCCTGACGCGAACCGGTAACCCCAACGACCAAACCATGGCTCTCCCTTTGCTACTCCATGCAGCAGCCTCAGCTCCATTCCTTTCTTGTGAGATGCATCGTTCAACCCTATTTTCCTATATTCAACATTATACATAACATATGACTTAATAAGATGCATAAGTTTATAACCATTTTAATTAAATATGTAAATTATCCAATATTTCATGACATACTGACATATGATATGATTATAATAGAATTGTAAATCATAGTACCTGACTTTTAAACCGGTGCAGAGCCGGTCCCATAACTCCATGACTTGATGACCGGTTAAGTCGGAACCGGACTCGATGCCATTGAGAGAGATCAAGTGACCAAATCCGTTAGAGTGAAAGAAGCCGTGAAGGATATGGCCTTGAAGTTCCACTAGATGGGAGAGACTTTCCTTTTCGGGAAAAGCGTAGCTTCCACCTTCCAATTTTAGAAAGGCAGACATTGTTTCCTTTGAAGGGATCACGAAATGGTACTTTTTGTTGCATATCATTTGGTTTCCCCAACCTGCAAGGTTCCATACACACCAATGCATAATTCATATATTTTACTTATTTTTGTAAAAAGCATAGTTCCCCAACCTATGTATTAGCATACATAGATTGATAGAAATGCAAAGAAAATGCTCACTATGAAATTATATCATCTTATCAAAACAAAAAAATGTTTAGCATATTAAGTTATGATCGTTGATCATATTTGCGAATGTATCAATTAGCATGCATGATGCATAGATATGCAAGAAAAAAAATAT